TTTTTTTTTTTTTTTTGGATGAAGTTTGCTCTCATTGCCCAGGCTGGAGTGCAGTGGCATGATCTCGGCTCACCGCACGCAATCTTCACCTCCCAGGCTCAAGCGATTCTCCTGCCTCAGCCTCTCAAGTAGCTGGGACCACAGGTGCGCATCACCACACCTGGCTAATTTTTGTATTTTTAATAGAGACGGGGTTTCACCATGTTGCCCAGTCTGGTCTCAAACTCCTGACTTCAGATGATCTGTCCATCTCAGCCTCCCAAAGTGCTGGGGATACAGGTATGAGCCGCCATGCCTGGCCTGTTCATTTTGTTTTTAAAGGTGGTGATGCACTTGCTCTGTGTTTTCTCTGCTTGCTTTCGTTCCTCTCTCATCCACACTCCATTCCTGTGGGGTCCCTGGGGGCATCTCCAAATTCTCCCCACTGATCCCTCCTCCTAGGTCTGGCTACAACAAGGCACACCACGTCCCCTGACCGGTCTCCCTGCTTCCTCCCTCTGCCCCAGCCCAGCGTGCCTGCAGCTTTCTCTACTCCCAGCATGAGCCCCAGTGTCTGTTTTGGTCGTGTTTTCTCTCTCATCCACAAACGCTGGCTTTGCTTCATTCCCTGTTCCATAAAAAGCAAAGAGTTGGCTCTGTCTCCCCAGATGCAGCAAGGCACACAGGCACTCGGCCGAGAGGGGACACGGGGACGCTGCCACGTGTCAGTTATTCTTTCCAGGAAAGCGAGCGTAGGAAACAGATGGGAAAAAACTAGAAGACCCTGTCACTTCCCAGAAATAGAGGGGGCCCACGGACAAGTGGTGGTCGACCCTGGGACTTGAGTTTGATTTGTTAAGGTTGCAATTTTGTGACAAAGAAATGGAATCCAGACCGGGCGCAGTGGCCCACGCCTGTAATCCCAGCACTTTGGGAGGCCGAGGCAGGTGGATTGTCTCAGGTCAGGAGTTCAAGACCAGCCTGGGCAACATGGTGAAACCCCATCTCTACTAAAAATACAAAAAGTAGCTGAGAGTGGTGGCACACACCTGTAGTCCTGGCTACTTAGGAGGCCAAGGCAGGAGAATTGCTTGAATACGGGAGGCGGAGGCTGCAGTGAGCTGAGATCGC